CTCAACACTTCGTTGTAAATCGGCCAAAAACCATAACTTTCGATCCCCTTCTTAGACACACAAAAATATAAAAAAAAATAATGCGGCAAAAACCATCTACTGCTATAAAATCCCAGTATAACATATCATTTCAAAATTACATACATAATTTTTTAATTAAAGACAGGAAAAAAAAAGAATAAAAAACAAAAAATCTTCTTTATTTCTTGAACTTAAAGAAAGTACCACAACAGATCCAAAAAACAAATAACATAAAAAAAAAAGATAAGAGAAAGAAACAGTGAAACAATCACCTTTGCATCCCTAAGAGAACAAGCTCCTCGATAGCAGAATCTAGCGCAACGCGATCTTCTTTGTTGGCTAAGAGCTTAACCTCTTGAACGACATGTACCCCCCACCCGTTCTTCAGATCCGGCGAATACATATGCTTTATAGCACCATTTATCACTTCCCTCTCTTCCCCGCTAACAGATCCAAAGTCCTCTACAAACCTCCTCACCGTCCTACTCCTCAGCTTCCGCGCGTCCAGCTCACGCGCCGCCATCGCCCTCTGCGAGGCCGTGAACAGGCAGTTCCCGTCCGCCGAAACGTCTCCCCCGTGCGACAGCCTGAATACCACCGCCGGATACGAATCGTCGTTCTTGGGATGCTTCCACAGCACTCCTTTGGTTTGGAGCCTTTGTAAGTGGCGTCTTTGCTGGTCTTCCAACCCAATCACGTCCTCCCACGTAGGTTGTGCGGCGATGGCCAGAGTCTGTTCTGAAAGATCTACAGTGGCTTTTGGATCGTCCCTCCAATGAACAGCCGGTGAAGGTGGCGTTTGAAATGTCGTTTCGGCAACGGCTGCTGTTGAATCGCACAACAACTTTCCCATTTTTTTATTTTTCTTTAAATCAATAACAGGAAAAATAAAATTCTTGAATCTTATTCTTTTCTTTTCTTTTTTCTTTTCCTTCTTCAACGGGGAGGTGAGTTGCAGAGAGAGAGAGAGAGAGAGAGGAGAGAGAGTTAACGTTAAGGTTTAACGGATAGATTAAGACGCGGGAGTTTTAATCACACGTGGAAGAATCATTGTGGTTTCAGAATTTATGGCTCGTGGTTAGTGAGAGACGCTACCGTAAGCCGGTGGACCATCAGGGGCAAATCTGAGCCAGAAATATTTTTTTTGTTGAAACCAGAAATATTATATTGACTATTGAGTATTGGCTTCCTTTCAGTTTCCAGAGTTCTTAAAAACTCATCAAGAAATAATTAATTATATTTGTGTCATGATAAAATTGTTTAATTTTCAACATTAAAAACTTAAAAACGAAGTTGGTGGGATGGGGGTATGTAAATGCTGATGTGTCTAGGAAGAGCAAATGGGGCCTTGCCAAGTCATCACAAGTGGGACCTGTTTGCCAAGGAGGTTTTGTGTCCGTGGAAGCACGTGTGTGCGAGACTGTGCGGCTTCGGGGAGGCGTTACTTGTGAAAGGCGTTGCATTCAAAGCTACGGTCAAAAGTGAGCATTGAAATCCTCAACGCCTCTTTTATCCAAACCAAATTGGAAAATTATTGAAAGCAAGGTCATTACACACGTACCCGGTTGTTTTTCTTGGTGCACCGCACGGGAACAAGCAGCCGGAAGCTTGCATGCCTGTGAACGTCAAAATGAGAGATGTTAAGCTTTTTATCATATTATGTCGAGCTATTTTTCTGAAGGATCTTCTTTATAGTATCTTTACTGCAGTAAAATTTAATCATTAAGCTCAGAATGGATTGGTGTGGTTTTTTTACGTCTGAAATATCAAACCATGTACGAAGAAAGTCACCATAAAAAATCATATTGGTTAATGATTGTGAAGCTCTATTAAAAATTATTTTTTTATATTTTTAAATTGATTTTATATATTTATATCAAAATAATTTTAAAAAATAAAAAAATATTATTCCAATATATTTTTAAGTGAAAAAATATTTTGAATTACAACCGTTACTACAATCTCAAACACACCTTAAACTTGTATTTTTCCGCACACTTCACTATCGATGAAATAATTTAGACTTTCTCTTTTTAATCTGGAAATTTTAAGGATTGAACTATATATTAAGCCTTGATTTTAACAAAATAATCTCTATTTGTCATGTATTTCATTTTAGTCTCTTATCTTTGAATTTTGACTTTCCTTAATAAATGCGTTGATATACATTGAGAGTTATTTATAATCCGTCAAGAGATGCTTGTATTTTTCTGGTGAGATGAATCGTGTATTGTTGTAAGGTCTTAAACTTTTGAAATTAGATGCTCAATACTGACTGAGAGCTCCCAACGATTGCGACACTATAGGCCGCCTATAAGTTCTCAATCGTAATGTTGGAGAGTTTGTATATTCTATTTTTATATAGTCCACCAAACAATTATGCCTCCATCCACAAATCCGGATCAAAATCTGGGTGGGTTGAAGGAATGTCCTCATATCTCTTTCTCAACAGGCTGTTATATGTCTCCTAGAAAGAAAAACTAAACTCATCAAATTCAATTAAAAAATAATAATAACTTACAAAAAGAAAATGGTTGAATGAACATACCACAAAGTGTTAAGCATAGTTTTCTGTTGTGCCCGTTTTTGGTAATCTTCACTCCACACGTGTATCCTTACAAAAGCTTCATTAAACTTGGCTCGCGACTAAGAGTCATAACCTATAAAAAAATATTGTAAGTTAAATATATTTATAAATAATAATAAATTAATTAAAGATAGATGTCATGAAAATTAATATTATCATGCGCTTTGCATGAGCAATGAACGGAGCTATCAATGTGTGTGGTAGCCGAACTGTGAATTTATTGGGTTTTTTCTCGACACCTAACTATGAGCGTCATGCGAATTGCTAAGACATCACATGTTGATATTCACCCATATATCCTTTAGGATGTATGGCGGTTTAAAATCCTTCAAAATTGTTATGTCATTCTAGACTGGTAGAGCATCATCATATTTTTTAGTTTTGGTTTTACGCCTCATACCAAAAATCACGCAACCTACACGATACAAATATATTTTATATGAGTTAATGACAAATGAGATTTTAATATATAATTTAAAAATATATATACAGTATTTTTTTATGCTACCTAGTTAAAGCGTGATTCTTCTAAACTCTTTTCGTAGCATTATCAATTGCGTTATCCCACTCAAATTTGTTCCGTGTGTAAAATTTTTATAAAAAATAAATTAATAATTTCAATATAACATAAAATATAGTTAAAATTTTAAGTTAATACTAACCTCAAATCTTACAAATCATGCATCGATATAAGGTTTCTAATCAAGATGTCTGGAAACTCGACTCCTACTGGAACAATAGAATTTTCATTGATGATTTAAAGGCCAATGTTATTATTCGGGCAGCCTCAATATTTATGAAGTTGAAAATTAATAAAATTAATGAAATATTAGTTGTTCATAAATTATTAAACATAAATCATCTCAAATCAAAACAAACTTATATTGAAAAGTCGTTCTTTCAATGTGGTTCGTACTTGTAAAAGAATTGATTCTGCTATTAAAAAACATTGCCTCTACATTGTGGAATAACATATGAAGAAGCAACATCACGAGTCGATGCAGGTATCTTTTCTTGGTCATCATCTAATTGTAACAAGAACGTTTCTATTTGCTATATTTTTCATTTTAATCTTGTATCTTTAAATCTTGACTTTCCTTAATAAATGTGTTTTAATAGGCCATTATTTGTGGCTACAAGGGTGCAATTAAAAAAAGGCTAGAGAAAAACAAATTAATATGGTAATTTGCAGTGATTTGTTTCTGGTGAACAATAGCATGGGAAATAGTATTTTTCTCATGTCTTTTAAAAAATTACTTAATGTATATATGAAATAGTGTTATATAGTATTTTTTAAAAATAGTTTTTCATTTGAAAATATATTAAATAATTTTTTTATATTTTTATTTTGCATCAACAAATAAAAATCATAAAAAACATGAAAAAAAATCAATTTAATGTGTTTTTTTTTAAATTGAACCAGTCAATACAAACTGATTTTTTTATATGATGTTAAAATCTCGGAGTCTCGACGCCAGCCAGAAAATTGAACGCATTTTTGTTTACGTTATGTCTTTTGCTCCACGCGCAAAAACAAGAAGTTCCCACGTTGCTCGAATGGAAGCTGTAATGGTTTTGTGGCTTTTGTCTTCGTTTCTCAGAATATTCTGGATACTGTGTAAGGTTTTGGCGCGGATCCGTTGACTCGGTTGCTAGATGATCTGATTTATGTCCAAAGCCACCCCACGTGTGAGGGTTTTTTTTTTTTTTTTTTCATGATGTGAGATTTTAGGCCGTACACTAACTCTTTCCTTGTTTTAAAAATTCAATTATTCATTTCCATTTAAAAATATTATTACAACAATAAAACAGGACGTGATTGTAATCTCTAGATTGTCTCCCCTCCACGCCTAGATTTAATATGATAAATTGGATAAAACTAGAGAGATAAAAAGAAGAAGAAGAGAGGTTAATCACATGATTAAATATTTATCTCAATACATTTTAAACAGTAAATCACATGGCTTAATGCCAATTTAAATAAAATTGAATTGTTCCTAAGGAGACAATCTTTTTGTTAAAACTTTATAATTCCAAAATTTGACATTACCATTGAGTTTAAATTTAAGTGAGTTCATTTAAATATTATGGATCATGGTTTATATATCATCTTATATTTTATAATACTCTTATAATATTGCCAACGATGATGGAACTATTCTAGTGAAACTTAGTTATTCTTCAGCCTTGAACAGAGTCAAAAGAAAGTCAAAAGAAAATAAAAAAGAGTGGTTTGGCAATAGCAATTCGAATCCATTCTAAAAATCGTGGTTTGGCACGCGCAAGGCTGACAGCATCCCCCATTCAAGAGCAGCCACCAGGCACGTTGTGCCTGTTACATTTGCAGCACAGTCACCGCTAGTTAATATTCGGTGATCGTTCTTTTGAATGGTTCATTCGTTTGCATTTATCAGTAAGATCTCTCTTCTTCTTCTTCTTGAACCACCAATCCCCTTGTTTCAGGTTCTTTCTTAATCTTCTGGTGGTATTGTATCATTGTCGTGGTTTAATTTTGCCTCTTCTGTTTTCTTTGGAGTACGAAACATTCAGCCAGCCTTTATCAGATGAATATTAGCTTTTGATCACCTTTATTGCTTTGCATATCAGTAATATTAATGTTTTTTTAGACTGTTCTAGTTATCTTAACCTCTTAGGTTGAGTAATTTTCCGATGCTGGTCATATAGTAGTTGTACAGTCCCGTCTTTCGTTTTCTGTTCTTTTTCATTTTTAAATAAATCCCAATGGCCAGTCTCTTTAGTCTTTAGTTTTGATGACTTACTGTTTAGATATTCATTCATTATCTGATTTTTCTTTGACATTTCACGCTAATTCTGTTCAAGACATATTAATTGCTACCATTTTTTGCATGCCCTGTTCTTATTCTGAACCATCCAAACTTTTAATACAGAGAAATTTATACCAAATTAAAGGAGAAGTGTCGAAATGTCGGGTGTTTCTCTCGCTGTGAATCCACCATATGAACCTAATAGAACCACTGTTTCAGCAACAAAGGCTCCGCTTCAGCGACAGGAAAAGCAGAATTCGATGGTAGGAGGTTTAATGGGATCATTGCGTGTTATAGAACTTCAACTAGTAGCCTTCATTATGGTTTTCTCAGTTAGTGGCCTTGTCCCGCTACTTGATCTAGTCTTCCCAGCCTTCACCTCTGCTTATCTTCTAGCCCTCTCGCCCTTCGCTTTCCCTTCATATGGCAGAACCTCATCAGAGATTTTCCAAGGAAGCAGATTTTTTAGATTCTACGTCATTTTGGGAACAACCATAGGACTGTTCTTGCCCCTAGCCTACGTGTTGGGTGGGTTTGCAAGGGGTCATGATCAAGCAGACGGGTCAGTAACAGCTCATTTGTTCTTGCTCTCGTTTCAGATCCTTACTGAGAACATAATAAGTGGTCTGTCGTTGTTTTCACCGCCAGTGAGGGCATTAGTACCCTTGCTTTATACAGTCAGGAGGAGCTTTGTTAACATTGATTGGATAAGCGATGTGTGGCTCACCAAAACTCTACCAGCAACTGCTCAAGTTAAGGTAAGTGGTCCTTAATTTCTTTTCCATGATTTAGATTTAACTTAAACGAGAGCTAATTAGCTTAACATATTTCATGTGGTTGATTCAGGACATTGCGTGGTATTCGTTTGGGAGGAGTCTAGCAGCTGCCAATCTAGCATATTTCTCAATCAATCTTCTTCTTTTTTTGATCCCGAAATTCCTTCCACGGGCTTTTGAGAAGTATTTCAGGGATATGGATGAAAATGAATCAAAGATGGCAGAGGACAAGCGTTTTGCCGCTGCAAACAAAACCAAATCAGCAGATAAGAAAGCTGCTTGGTTCACTTCTGTTTATTTATCATCACATTTGGAGCAGTTCTTCTACTTGTGCAAGGATTTTTTTTTTTGGTTATAAAAGGACATGTTTCTGATCAGCAACTTCTGAACTTTTACTTTTTATATAGCCTCGTAGACTTGAAGCGGTACAAGCTATTTCTACACCACCGATATGTATACTCTAGAATAAGCAACAGGAATCCCAGATTAAGCATGTTACATGTACCAAATTTAAATCATAAACCAGGCCAATGCGATTCCTTTGGAAAGAGAGCATTTGGTATACTTTACTCGTTCCTTGAAGAGTATAGCCTACTAACTGGTTTCCAACATATGAAGTGTCAACGCTTGTTGCATGAAATGGCTGCAACCCTTTATGCGACGAGCATGAAGTGTCCGATCGCTCCCGATCATTCTGCTATATATATATATATATATATATATAGCAGAATGATCAAGAGGTCTGTATATTTAGAGATATTGTCGAGAAATCACTTTCATAAAAAGATAGGAAGTGAATTGTTGGAGAGAGGTAAGGGACATTCAGTTTGTGAAATTTGGTTATTTTTAGGATAATCTTAGTGATTTCATTTCATCGGCTTATAATTCAGTCCAATTCAAATCCAATTAAGGTTTCGGGTTTTACTCTTTTTCTTTCTTCATTGACATAGAAGCTAGTTTTCATGCTAATTTGGATGAGTTCTGCCATAAAAATATTCTATGAACCCTTGAATGATTATTCATGGCAAAGCTCATCCGAATCAGCATAAAAACAACCCTACAGATTCTGATATCAATGAAGAAAACAATATAACAAGCTGATGAGGTGAAATCACTGGGATTACCCTAAAAATTATTAAAATTTGACAAACGAAATGTCCTTAAGCTCTCTCTAGCAATCCACTTCCTATCGCCTCTTTTTGGATGAGAATACTTTCTCAGCTTCATCTCTAAAGGTATGTATATTCCTCTTAATCACTCTGCTATAAGAGGTGGCCGACGACTTCACGTTTGTTACATTGAGTGGCAGCGGCTGTTTCAAGAACTGTAACCACTTAAAAAAGTTCAGCACTTTTTTTTCTCAAACGAAGAAGAAAACCGAATTAAGTCATGGGCGTGTACAAATTGGTTTTTCATATCGTTTATTACGCCCTTCTTAAACTTTACAGTAGAAAAAAACGATTTCAATAAAATTTCTAGACGGTATCTTATCTTATACCACCAATACCTATGTAAAATTTTGATGGGCTTGCAGCAACTGAAAAACTGCACCACCATAGTGGCAGTCTAAGATGGTTTGGTCTCACCAAACACTTGAGAAGAGCCGATTGCTATAGCCTTGTGATGATGGAAATGAAACTTTCTTTTCGTTTCTGGGCATTAATTATTTCTATTAATTAACAAAACATTAAACAGAATAGTTAAGAGTATGTTTCACAATGGGGCTGTTGTGTTTTTGAATAAATTTATTTATTTATTTATTTTTGTTTTCTAAATATTTTTACATACATATGTCAAATTAAGATTTTTTAATAAATAAAAAATATTATTTTAATATATTTTTAAATAAAAATATTTTAAAAAATAACCACTACCAAACTCATAAATAGTATTTTGTTTTTAGTTTAATTTAGCCCTTCAACAGCTCAATTTTTTTATTTAGTTTTTTTTTTAATTTTATTCTTTAATATTATATTGTTTAAGAAATTGTGATTTTTTATTTTTTTATTTTTTTAGTTGGGTTATATACTGATTTTACAGATTTAGTTTTTTTCTTGATTTTAACCTCCAATATTAGATTTGTTGGAAATGAGGTTTCACGATATTTTTCTATTTGCTTTTATGAATTAATGTTGATCTCATTATTTATATTAGAAATTTAACAAATTAACCCTGGTGGACTCGAATAATTATTTTTTTAATTGATTTTTTATTTATTTTATAATTCAATATTGGATTGGTTGAGAATTAAGTTTTGTAAATTGTTTGATTTGCTTTCTTTGTGCTTATCTAAATCTTATGATCAAAGCATAAGTTGACCCTATTTTTTTTTTATCATTTTTAATTGAATGTTTTTCAATTAGGCTTTGTAAAAAAAATTTATTTGCATTCCATGAGGTTATTTTGATCGAGTTGAGCTAAGTCGCGGGTTTGACGGGCTAACTTGGGTTAATTTTGTTTATTTTTTTATTTTTTAATTGAATATATATTTTTTCAATTCCACCTTCTAACACCTCAATCTTTTTTTTTATATATATATTTTTTAATTTGATCTCTCAATATTAGATTATTTGTATATTAAGTTTTATAATTTTTTTTCAATTTATTTTATGTGAAATTACCCTAGTTTCATTAGATTTATTTATTTTTTCTCAATTTTAATTTTTAACATTGGATCTGTTGGAAATAGAATTTTATAATTTTATTTATTTATTTTTTATAAAGTTATTTTTATCTTATGATTCAAGTAGAGGGTTTATCAAGTTAGTCCATGTTAACTTGAGTTGTTTTTTTTTTCATTCTCGTTTTAGTTGTTTTTTTTCCTTTAATTTCATCCTTTAATATTAGATTTATTAGAAATTAAGTTTCATAATTTTTTTAATAAAATCATCATGATTTCATAACCTGAGTTATATATTTAACATATTAATCTGAATTAATTTAATATACCATCATTTTAATATTTATATTAAAAAATGTTACCCAATATATCATTCATTCAATATGATGATATTTTTAATTTATAATTAATTTTTTATTAAAAAACACAACAACAATACTTGGACATAAAAATAAATTTGACCCGACTGCATTACAGCTCAAATATACGATCCAGTTTTCCCTAATGCAAATCTCAAAAACATTCCATGATTGTTTTGATTGCCGAGAGGTCAAGAGACGCTAGGCATTGGGATTTCGTTGATTTTTGACGACTGCAGAGTTTGTGGCAGGAGTGGGAAGCATCAGTCGAGTTTGTTGAGGCGAATGTCTAGGCTGCTTACGCTCCCCAGGTAAACAAAGGCCATTCTTAAGCGGTGGCATGTTTAGACATGTTTTATCTCCAGCAAAGCAATGCAATTACCGAGGGGACGTCAAAAATTGGTATTGTATGCAATTGTGTATGTCTTGTAATGAGATGCGGTGGGGTGAGACTGAGTTTTTTATTTATTTTTTTACTAAACGTACAATTTCTTTAAAACACAAATTATATCTTATTAAAAGCTAAAATACGTATTTATTTTTTTTACTTTTTTTAATAGATCCCACTAAGAACACTCAAACACATTTCACCTTTCACGGCTGCCCTGCCGCTGAATCTGCAATATGGATTCAACTGTTAGGAAAATGTCTCTGGGCCCACTGATAAATTAGCCTAGCAGCAAGGCCATGTCTTCGTGCTTGGAAACTTTTTATTTAAAATTAATTATTTTTATGCTTTTAAATTATTTTAATGTATTTATATATATAAAAAATTAATATATTTCCAAATAAAAACAACAATTACTACAATACTAAACATGTTTTAATAGTTGCCATCCAAGGGCATTTTACATATTATTATATCATTTAAGGAAAATTATTCAAAGAATTCTATAATTGTTTTTAACTTTACAATTAAGTTTTTAAATATTATATTTTGCAACTTTGGATTAAAGTAGATTTTGAAAATCAATGAAATAACAATAATACATCCATATAAATTAAAACATGAAATGTAACATTACCACACAAATTATTCTTTCTCTTCTATGTCATACTCCCCGTCAAGAATTATGTCATACTCCCCGTCAAGAATCATAGTCTACTTCTTTAAATCCATAACTCATAACAACAGTCGTTCTCTCTCATAATGATAGACTGAGCTAACACCCACAAAACCTTCGATCTTCATAGCCGTCACAAGTCTCCACCTGTAATTTCACCAAAAATCACTTAAAGTCCTAGCCTCTTCTTTTTTTTATTGAAATGGTAAGATTTAGATTTTAATTGTTTAAAGTGTAGTAATAATTATTTTTTAAAGTATTATTAATTTAAAATATATTTTTTAATATTTTTTAAATTTTTTTATATTATTATATATCAAAACGATTTAAAAATATAAAAAAATATAATTTTAAATGAAAAAATTAAATTTTTACCAACATATGTTTTAACAACACTCCTGAACAGGGGCTTCAACTGAATCATTTCACAGCATAAACACACTGACTGCCATAGTCGCCCTCGTCTTTTCAATTCCCATCATTTACCCAACCATTTCCTTCAAGCAATCGACACCTTTTGCAAGTAATGGTTTTTTTCGCACTCTTTCTTGATTTTACGTTAATACACACAGTTAATAGTTTTTCTTATGCATTGGTTTACTTACAGAAGTCGGATATTTGGCGAATCTTACTCAACCCTAAACCAATGACAAACAAATCAAGTTCATTAAGGCTATGAAAAATGCAAGATTCCCTCAAAACCATGCCCACGACCAAGCCCATGCCCAGATAGAACCCAAATCAGAATTTTAAAAATTAAAAACCCAAGGCTATGAAAAATGCAACAAATTTCTCGCATGCTTTCAAATCTATCACCCTCGGATTTGACCAATTCCAAAATCGTAACTTTAGTTCAGCAAGGCAGCAGGTAGATTCCTAGCAATTCGACTAGGTTCACATCCTCAAATCAGTACGTGAAAATATTCAAAATGAGCCATGAGTTTCTAGTTGCTGGGTATTTAGGGATGAAGGTGACAAAGTGGGTGGGTTTCTACGACGTGAAGGAGAAAAGTTACTGTGCAGACAAAAAGAAGAAAGGGAGAGATGCGGTGGAGATGACGGTTCCCGATGGGTAAAGATGTTAAATGATGGAAAATTTTAACAGCAAAAAGTAAATGACAAAATAAAATAACAAAACTATTATTTGGGGACGGTTTCCAGGTTAATTTAAAAATATTGACTAATTTAGATTCTGTTTTTTCTTAAAAAATAAATTTCAGGAAAAATGAATTATGAAAAAAGTAAATTTTAGAAAAAATGAATTCCTGAAATATTTTCTGATGTTTAATAGTGTTATGAAAATTGAAAAATAAATATTCAAAACAAAATATATATAACA